TAAATTGCATATTTGCTAGAATATTGGGACAAAAGCACAATCAAAGTCGAAATCGTACCAGGCTAAACAATTCCACTGTGCTTTGGGAAGAAATATGGAGCCTAGTAATTTGCTCCGTAGAGGCGATCGTCCAATGGCAATAAATATGACGATTGTTTATAAATAGGTCATTTTTTTTTTATACATAGAGGTCATAACAATTTTTATTCATTAGATGTTAAATTGGATGGCTTGAGGTGAGTCACGAAGTTCAATAATTACTGTTTTTGGAACTTTGTCCAACGACACTTTTATGATCACTATTTTGAAATTTAAGAGATAAAAATAATTGCGACTTCTATGTACAAATAAATAAATGGTATATTTGTAGACAATCATTCTCTTTATTCAAACTGCCTCTTAACGAAGCCATTAGTTAACTTGGTCTAAAAAACATGTACATCGACAGAGAAGCCGACGATTGATTCGAGAGTCTATTTTCCTTCCAAGGGAACAGTATGCTCTCGCGAGAGTAACATATTCTTTCGATTTTACGCGATCATTTCTCTTTGGTTTTTAGTTTCCTTCGACTCAAAAGACTCAAATAAATGTTTTGCAACCATTGTTGTTTCTTTTTCAAACTTATTCACCTCTAACACGGTAACAAAACCAATAAACCACATACACATTGTTTATAGTATTCAAAACCTTATATATCTCGTGAACTTTTTGACAAAAATATCATTCATCAAGTTCACGCACGCTACATAGCTCATAGGACATTATTGTTAGGCAAAAACAATGCCTTCGCCCCACACTATGGGGCAATGCAATCAATGCTTTCTCTTTTTCCAACAATGGAAGGTGTTATTTCCATTTCAACCCATAATTTTTTGGGGATAACTAGAGATACTTCCCTTGACTCAACTTACCCTCAGCCACACCCAAAAAAAAAAAAAAACAAAGTTTTTGATATCACATCACAGGACAAAGTGTATATATAAGGCTGATACCTTAAAATGTAGAATTAAAGTGTACCTCTAAAATATTTCGAAAATGTTGTTTTGATGTTGAAAACATCTAATTGGTCATCTCGATATCGAGATGTATAAATACGAAAAAAATAAATTTTAAGTTCTAACAAAATACATCTTACAACACATTATGTGGACCTTCCATTTTCAAGATTTTCATACATTTATTGATGTGCTTGATTTTAATATTTTTTGGAGTTTAAAATTTTATAATTAAAGATAAAAATAGATTATTGCACAATCCTAATAATTTATTACACCAAATTTGCATCTCGTGACAAAGTTTGGAAGTGCACCTTAATTTGGTTGTTTAAAGTTGCAACCTTATGCAAACCACACCCAATTCTAACATCAACCCTGAAGTTAAAAAATAATTTTTTTTTATGTGTTTCCCTGTTTTTTCTTTTTTTTTTGGAGGGGGAGAGGGGATCCCTTTGAAGCTGATTCGACACAAATGTGCGTCGAATCGGCTTCATTATAATAAGCTAGTCCAAGCCACACAAGATTGTCTTTATTGAAGTAAGTTTGGTACACATTTGAGCCAAACCAGCTTCATTATAAACAATGAAGCTTGATCGGCATAATATGTATCAGACTTAAGAAAGTATAAAATGATACCATTTACCTTTTATACAAGGTGGTCACATTAATCTTGATCATTGGATGTGAAATTGGGTGGTTGCAATTATTCCATTGAACAGACTCAAATTTTTCATGGCGTGATTTCAAGCGGGCTCTGCTAGCAGTTCTCCAAGAAAGCCGATATTTTGAGATTAGGATCTATCTCTGAATTAAAATTTGACTGATGCCCATAGACTTTACGATTTTAAATTTTAATATTTTAGAGCATAAATTTGAAAGGTTTCATCTTAGGTATCTTTAAATTTGACTGCAAACAAGCATATATGTCAGACCACTGTCATCGTTTAGTTCTAGTGAATTATCCATTTTTTATACATAATTGTCGTATCGCTTGGGTCACAATGCGTGATGTCCCCATGTGGCCTTTAATTGCTCCGATTAATTACTTCCATTATACAATGTGGCTTTCAAATTCCTGCCCCTATAGTAAATTCCTCTATCGTTTACAATTTGCTCGAAGGAACCACCATAATGATAAGAGTAGCCTCACTTCACTAGGAGCCATTGTTATGACTAGCCCAAAGCCATTGTAAAACTAAATTAGAGTATAACCCAAAACGAGTCACCTTTATGATTATTGAAAAAAAAAGTAAACAACCTACATAAAAAGAGGAATATTTTGCATTTGACACCAACACTTTCATGACTTCATGAAACGAGAAAGGAACAACACCCAATTTCTTTCAAAGGAGAAAATGAATGAACACAACCCACATTCTCATATATTGAAAATAGGTAAACTTAATATGGAAATTGGGGCATTCAATTGGATCAATTTTATTTTGATACAAAGAATCAACGTAAATTATCCATAAAATTGAACCAATCCATAATTACCATATTTACATATGGTACGGATGCAATTTTCCCTTTTTTTTTTTTGACCGTTCAAAGTTTTCGTAGAAATCCTAAATGTGATACTAATGAATTTGGGAAAGGAATTATTTAACATGAAATAAATGAATTGTCTCGCATAAATGTCGCTAATGTCAGATTCAAATATGCACTAATTCACCAACACGTTTTGTTATCTTCACCGATTCCTTGGTGGTATGATAAAAAGTTTTTCATTGGTCACGTACACATGATTTAGTTCAGTGTCACTAGGATCAGATTAGAAGCGAAATCGATTAGAAGTTCCGTCCAATCAAAATTAGATTGATATCAATCAAAGTGATTTTACCGGTTTTTCAAAAAACAAATAATAATATAAATAAGTCGATATAACCAATCAAAACTAATCAAATATTATTTTTGACAAACTTTTTACCAAACAGCTATTGCTTTTGTTTTAGACTAGACAAGTCAAGACACTGATTGAAAATTCGACCGATTGGATTGGATGGTTTGTTTTGGTCTAGCCTCGATAGCTATAAAACAATCCATACGTCTGACACTACGGCGGCCTGGTCAATCATTTGCCTATGATCCCATGACAATGTAAAATATTTATTACATCATAACAAAATCAGTTAGCACAAATTTAATACATCATTGTTACAATTTGACTATTCATCCGATCAAGATCATACAATCTTCGCATCACAACCCTTTAAAATTATATGTATGATGGGAGCCCTAGTCGTTTCGTGGTAAAAAATAAAAATGGAAACGAACATGGGGAACTAACCCATTATACATTTGAATTTAGGGATTGTGAATCCTCTATCGAAACGAACATGGCGAAGTAGCCCCTTGTACATTTGAATTTAGGGATGGTGAATCCTCTATCGTAAGGAAATCACTCCGAAACCTCGTTCTCTGTTATACATTTGATAGCGGGTCTATGAATACTTGACAGAAGGGGTAGTCATTCAAAACTGTATCCGGTGCAATCGAGGGAAGTTTTTTCAAGTCGATTTGAGTTAGGACTCCTTGCATAATTGCATTAAGGTAATTATTCTTTTCTTCTCTTCATTCTGTTTACTGTATTTTTTATTTTCAGAATTTATGTATACTCGTGTTTATTTCCTCTCATGATTTTTTATTTTTATTTTCGCTATTTATCGTTTCTTTATTAGCATCAATGTCATAAATAATCCGATGCGAAGAAACAAAATTATCATAGCTTATATCCCGGTTTTAATTTTACGAAAGTTCTGCTAGTTTCTAATATCTTTGTTGTTCTATGTAGGCAAATATTTGGATGGTTGTCTTTATTTTATAGTTTCATGTCATTGTTATTGATGTTTTTTGGGGTTCAAAAGAAAAATTACGATTACTCCTTACCCTTTTTGTATTTTTAACACTAAAAAAAGAAAAAAAAAATACGAACAATATTTTCACTTTTTTTTTTTTCAATTCCATAGTTCCAAACATCACGAAATAAAAACAAAAATAAAAACAATATTTTCCTAATTATTTTTTATTTTCTTATATCCAGAAATCTTGAGATTGACCTGATCAATTTGAGATTTTTGCCACACCAAACTTACTTTTCTATCAGTTTATCTTATCTTTATAATACAATCTTGAGGCCTTTTATTAACCTTTTCCATAAAACACAATGAGAAGTATATTATCTATCCTCCCTCTTGCAAATTTATTCTCTCTCTACTTCTCTAGCTGCCTACTCGCCATCTTGAAATTCCTTATGTTAACAAAAGCTCTTGTACGAATCCAGTATATTGGACCAAACTAACTCGAATCTCTGAGTATCTCTCGTGCGAATGTACTGCATGCGAACCCTTCTATCTCTCTCTAAACGAGAAAATAACACTCCCTCTCTCACTCTAGGCTTCCGTTATGGGGTGAGGTTTGTATATGGTCGCCTCCTTAAACGCGCACCTATAAGTCTCCTTTTCTCCTTAGAAATAAAATTTTAAATTTAAAAAATAATTTGGCTTTGAAGTTTATTTTTTTTCTCATAAATAAAATTTAAAATTTTAAAAATAACTAAAATCAAAAAAATCAAAAAACACTTGAAAATTTTGAAAATAGACTGTTCATATAACTTGTTACGGGATGAACTATTTTTTGGATTTCAAATTTGTTTTTTTCGTCCATTCATCTCAAGGTCGAGATGATCAGTTGGAGGATTTTCTTACGACGGAACTCTATGCTTCTCAAGGTCGAGATGATCAGTTGGAGGATTTTCTTACGACGGAACTCTATGCTGTAGGATATTTTAGTAGGGACCAAATCCCCACTGAAATACTATTCTTTTTAGTTTAGTAATAGGGTTGACATATTGATGGTAAGTATTACTTGATCCTCAACTACACTTCTAATGACGAATTAAAAACCCGCTAATTATTCTTAAAAACGGGAACGTATTGCCTGTTGATCTACCGAAAAACACACAAGCTTGCAACCCTATATAAACTTTTTCCTAGATCTGAACGTTTTGAAAAAGAGCTCTCTGTCTCTCTCTCTCTCTCCTCCACATTGGCGAGAACACCGAGGCTGAAGCCTCCTCCGTAAAATCCGTCTCTCCCCCCTCCCAAACGCCTCTGCAACTCCGATTAACTTAAGTAACCCCGCCCCGCCCATAACTCTCTCTCTCTCTCTCTCTCTCAAAACAAGAAAACCGTTATCTTTCTCTCACAAGAAAAACGCTTCTCTCTCTAAAGCAGGGAAAAGGCGTTCTATCCGAGCCAAAGGGGGAGAAGACCATCTCTGTTTCTCTAGAAACAAAGCAGCGCAAAAATGGCACACGCCATCCAATCCCTTCTCTCTCTAACCAACCACCGCTCCCATCCGAAACCCACCACCACCTTCTCTCCCATTACCCTCCGCCCCGCCTCTCTCTCCTTCTCGACTCGAAAGAAGCCCCACGTCCGTAGGATCTCTGCCATCTTCGACCTAGAGAACTCGTCGCCACCCTCCCCTCTCGAGTCCATCTCCATTGATGTCGATGCGGTTACAGAGGCCGAGCTCAAAGAAAATGGCTTTCGGAGCACGAGAAGGACGAAGCTCATATGCACAATTGGGCCTGCTTCGTGTGACTTCGAACAATTGGAGGCTTTGGCAATGGGGGGAATGAATGTTGCTCGAATTAACATGTGCCATGGAACCAGAGAATGGCATCAGGCAGTGATAAGAAGAGTGAGAAGGTTGAATCAGGAGAAGGGCTATGCGGTTGCTATAATGATGGATACCGAGGGGAGCGAGATTCATATGGGGGACCTTGGTGCTGCCTCAGCAAAAGCTGAGGTATGTTATGGTCATGGCTCTGGTGGTTTTGTTTTCTTCGCTGGTTTAGAGAGAGATTTATCTTTTTGGAGAGAGAGAGAGAGAGAGAGAGAGAGAGAGAGAGAGAGAGAGAGAGAGAGAGAGAGAGAGAGAGAGAGAGAGAGTACGTAGTACGTACGTACGTTACGTTTACGTTTACGTTTACGTTTACGTTTACGTTTACGTTTACG